TGGGTGTATGTGTCTGTGTGTGTGTGTATGCGTAAGTGTGCTCGCGTGGCCGTCACATCACTCCATGGTGGTTTGTTTTTCCAATTGCGTGGGCGCTCACACGCTGTCGCTGATTCGCACGCTTTCCCACACACACACACACACACACACACACACACACACACACACACACACACACACACACACACACACACACACACACACACACACACACACACCACCTGCGCCACGTCAGGACATTGAGGAGAAGAAGAGGGCGAAATTGGAACGGCAGCAGCGGGAGGAGGAGGAGCGAAGAAAGAAGAAGGAGGAGGAGGCAGCAAAGATGAAGGCCATGGCACAGGCGACTGGCGGTGCTGTTGGTAAGGATGGTGCTGCTGGCGAGGATGCAAGCTGGCTTGCCAAGGACATTGTTGTCAAGATCATCAACAAGACGCTCGCTGACGGCAAATACTACAAACGCAAGGGATACGTCAAGGTCTGAACGTGCGTGTGTGTGTCTGTCTGTCTGTGTCTGTCTGTGTATCTTTATGGGCGCGTATATACATGGTGTCACCTTTTGCTCTTTTTGCTTTCCGATCGCACGCAGCACCTCTCCCCACATCAGCATATCCTCCTCCTCCTCATCATCATATGCTCGTCACCTCAAACCCCCCCCCCCCTCTTTTTCCTCGTGCAGAGTTTGGCTGATGCGTACACGGCGAATGTGCGACTGCTTGACTCCAAGACCACGCTGCGATTGGATCAGGTCTGACATACACGCACGCACATGTTGTCAGTGGTGGTGGTATTGGTTGCAGCTTTGTTGCAGTACACACACACACACACACACACACACACACACACACACACACACACACACACACACACACACACACACACACACACACACACACACACACACACACACGCAACAGCGACTCATTTCCTCATCCACTATCTCTGTGCTGCATTGTTCCGTCTCAATGGTTCATCCCTCCCCACTCCTGCGTGTGTGCACTGTAGGCGTATCTGGAGACGGTGATCCCAAGTGTTGGCGGACACGTGCTCATTCTCCACGGGCCCCACGCCAACTGCCTCGGCAAGTTGAAGGACATTGACTACGACAAGTTCAGTGCGGACATCAAGGTGCTGGAGGGCAGTGGTAAGGGCACGCGCGTCATGCTGCCCTACGAGCACTTCAGCAAGTTCTACGAACCAAAGGCATAGCCGTCGCACTCTTTCTGTGTGTATGTGTCTGTGTCTGTGTCTGTGTCTGTGTCTGTGTATGTGTGCGCGCGTTTTTTTGTTTTGTTTTTGCGTGCTGCACACACGTCTGTTGACATTGATGTCCATATTGCTACTTGTTATCTTCGCTGCCCGCTTTTATTGCCTGTGCTTGCGACACCAATGCCAACGCCATCGTAGCACGTGCGAATATACGATATCCGACGCAACAACACACGCGCTCTGCAGTCGGTCGATAATGTTGAAATGACACAACACACACGCACACATGCACACACATGCACACATACATTCACTTTCACACGTGTATCGATCGTTCAGTTACAATAATGTCCACTGCTTGCCATGTGCCACGCTACGTGCCACCTATCTTCGCTCGCTTGCTTGCAGGCCCACGCCTTTGCTGCTGTTGTGAGCGTGAGCGTGGTTGTTGTTGTGAGTGTGAGCGTGGTTGATGTTGTTGTGAATGTGATTGCTGCTGCGATTGCTTGCTGTGACCGGGGCGGGATCGCCTCGTGTTGATCTCGCGGCACTCCTCCTGCGGCAGCGGAACCCTGCAGCAGCCGGTGTGTGTGTGTGTGTGTGTGTGTGTGTGTGTGTGTGTGTGTGTGTGTGTGTGTGTGTGTGTGTGGTGAGCTGACAAGAGTCTCGCCAACACGTGCAAGAGCACGTTCACAACCAAAACCACAAACGCTGAAGACGATGCGACAACGAGCTCAGCGTCACGCTCATGCATCGTCATGAACGCAAACACCATGTATGACCGCACACAGGACACGCACTCGCTCGGCAGAGAGGGCGGCGGTGTGGACTTGAAGAAGTCGTGTGCGAGGACAGCGGTGGCTGTGGGGCGGGCGTCTGGGTTGACGCGGAAGAGAAACATGGCAAACTTGACAAACTGGCGCGCAAAGTGCTGGCCGCCCAGAGCGCTGTTGGTGCATGATGGTGGTCGAGATGACAATGATGGATGTGGTGGGTGAAATATCAACAAGAAACAAAACCTCCACGAGTAACCACGCACACACACACACACACACACACACACACACACACACACATACACACATACACACACACACACACACACACACACACACACACACACACACACACACACACACACACACACACGCACACACACGACGCAACTGTTGACCTCACCTTGCCTTTGGCGTGAACCTTTGGGAAAGGGTGGACCTGCGTTTGTCCTTGAAGGAAATCCAGCTGTCCCTCCACGCTCGCCACGTGTCAAACTCCTGTGAGCCGCACAGCTGTTGTGAAGACGGATGAGCGAAGACGGGGGACGAGAATGGGGTGAGACGGGCGAGCGACGAGCACAAGGAACAAAGACGGAATGCTTCTGATGGCCGTGAGAAATAATACGTGCACGCGAAGCAGACAGCAAGCGATCACGTGACCACCACCATCACCACCATCACCACCATCATGTCACCACCAGTGCACGCCATCACCTCGTGTATGAGCGTCAACTGCGTGATGTCAAGCTCCTTGTCCGATTTGCCCGCTCGCGACTGATGATGATGATGATGATGATGATGATGATGATGATGGGTGGTGGTGATGGTGATGTGGAGGAGGTGATGGTGATGAACACAATGTAAGTCGTGATTCAGGACTGAATGTCAATGAACGGAAGCAATGGATAGCGCCAGCGAGTGACACGGAAGCCGTCACTGTGCCTCCAGCAAGAGCAAATGCGCATGTGTTCCACCTTGAGAATGACGTCGCGAGCCACCAGCTCCCCAACAACACACGCCTGTTGCGCCCAAGACGATGACGGGGGCGGTGATGGCAGCCATTAGGACATGCACAACACCACGAGCAACGAGTGTGCTTTGCTTGCGAAAGCCTGCCACTCACGTACACGTTCTCGACTAGCCAATCAACCAGCCAAACACACGCACACACACGCACACACACACACATGGCATGATATGCCTCCTCACCGCGCTCCAGATGTCTACGGCTGCGGTGTAGTGCGCCGGCGCGTACTTGTCAACGCCGAGGAGAATTTCGGGCGGGCGGTACCACCGCTGAAGAACACAGATGGTGGAGAAGTAAATTGGTGGTAGTGGTGGTGGTGGTAGTGATAAGCATACATGAGTGTGTCTGTCTGTGTGCGTGCGTGTGTCTGTGTCTGTGTGTGTATCACTGTCTGTCTGTCTGTCTGTCTGTCTGTCTGTCTGTCTGTCTGTCTGTCTGTCTATGTGTGTGACTGCTCCCATCTCTGCATCCAGCATTCAATCTCTCCACGCATCTCTGTCTGCCCACTTCCCCTCCACCCGCCGTCCAACACCCCATATGACGGTGTCTTACCGAGCAGATGAGCCCCGTGTATTGCGCGCTGACGGATTCAGGTCGGTACGGCCGCGCAAGGCCAAAGTCTGCAATCTTCAGCACACCATGCCTGCTCACAAGGATGTTCGCACCTGACGCGCGCGCGCGCGCGCGCGTGTGTGTGTGTGTGTGTGTGTGTGTGTGTGTGTGTGTGTGTGTGTATGGATATGAATAACATGAGCTGAACGTTAAAACGACGTGTTGATCGCCATTCACAACAACAGTCACACACACACACATGCGCATGCACACGCACGCACATGCGCAAACATACTCTTGATATCTCGATGAAGGATGCTGTTGGCATGGATGTACTTAAGCCCTACGAAGACACAAGGATAGTGTGTGTGACATGAGGGCAATGGGAGATGGCATACTCAGTCGCTTCAACGCAGAAGCAGTGGCACCGAGGCCGTTGGACAGATGTGACAACGCATACGGTGGTGGGACAGGTTGTAGCCAAACAGCAAAGCCAGAGGCAGAGATAGAGAGACTGACAGACAGACACATAGACAGAGAGACTGACAAACAGACAGAGACACACTAATTGGCACACAAGCAGACACACACACACACCTCGGAACAGCTGCTGTATCAAGCATTTGATGTGGTTTGGCTTTGGGTTCCAGTCCTTGTTGCCGATGAGCCCGCACAGGTCGTGCTCAATGACAGGGAAGACCAAATAGCAGAACCTGTCGTCTCCAATGTCATGTACAGCTGTGCGAGTGCGCAGGTTGGGAGGCAACCGCTCGTGTCAGATGTTGCACGATCAGCTGGCCTTGAAGAACCTGTTGGTCATCACACCACACACAGCACAGTCCATGCACAGCACACAAAACACACACGAACACACACACACATACACACACACTTACATACATACACACACACTTACACACACACACGAACAAACACAAACACACAAACACATAATTACAAACACAAACACGCACCTGCAGGGGTGACGGCGACCTCCTTCAGTTTGATGACGTTTGGGTGTGAGAGGCGCTGTGTGATTTGAATCTCACGGAGCGCCGTGACAGGGAAGCCGTCTTCAGCCTTCTTGTACTTGATCTTCTTCAGGGCATAGAACTTCTTCATCTTCTTGGAGAAGCACTTGCGCACATCCCCAAACACGCCTTCGCCGACCACCTGTGCACTGCGGTACGTCCTATAACATGACAAACAACGTGTGTGTATGTGTGTGTGTGTGTGCGTGTGTGTGTGTGTGTGTGTGTGTGCGCGCGCGCGCGTGTGTGTATGTGTGTGTGTGTGTGTGTTATGTTATGTGTTTGTGCGTTCCCGCCTGCTGATCAGGAAACTTCATCATATCAGCACGACTTCAAGCAGAAAGGACTCACGAGCTCTTGGGTGTTAGGTGTGGATCGAATTGCAAAAAGGGCTTTGGCTTCGCTTCCGCCGCCGCCGCTGCCTTGCCCGCTTTCCCATTGGCAGCAGCGCCGTTCCCATTCCCAGCCCCTGCCGTGGCTCCCGTCTTGACCCTGCTCGCCATTTGTTGGTTGGTTGTGTTGTGTGTGCGACTTTCCGCAGTTCGTTTGTAGAGAAATATGCGGCATCATGCCCAATTTTCCTCGGTGCAGTCCTTTCAGTGGTTGCGGACAACGAAGGCACACCAACACTGACTTCTTGAGTTCTTGCCCTCCGGATCGAGAAGCAGCAGAGCTGCAGAGAGCCTCGTGCCCAATCACTCAAACACTCTGGATGCCAATGCCAATGCCATGTGTGTTTGTGTGTGTGTATGTGTGTGTGTGTGTGTGTATGTGTGCGGGGCTGTTTTTTGTTCACGCGGAGGGGATGAAAGCAATAGAATTTTACACAGTGGGTTCATGTGCGTACACACACACACAGACAAAAGGACTTCGATAGCCATGGTAGTGAGGGAAGTATCAGCTAGTCAGCTCTCCAGCTCTATGCCTGCTGCTACGCAACGTTGAGAGGCTGTGCACTTCTGCGCGGGCGACAAAACGCGTGAGAAAACAGCTCCCTGTTTTGCATCAATGGCCAAGGCACGCCGCACTGGCTCAGCGACTGCATAAAAAGAAGGAAGGAAAGGGAGGGGAGGGCGGACGAGGGGTGAGGATTGAAAGAAAGCCAGAAAGCAACATCAGACGCCGATGCAAGACTCGCAAACCGACAACACCCAGGACAACAGCCTCCAACAGCACCACACCAACACCACACCAACACACACACCTTGGACTGTGGGTGTTTTGACAGCAGCGGCGGTGAGGGAGGCAGTGCGGGGGCAGACGTGTCATCTGCAGACAATTGCGCACGAACAACTGCAGCCTGAATCGCCTTCTGCCACCTGTTGCGGAGCGAAGGGTGTCAAATACAGCACGAGTTCACGTGTGTATGTGTGTGTGTGATAGCTGGCAAGCATGACGAGCACAAGCAGAAACGCAGTACTCAGTTGCTGCCTGCATCAAACATCGGAGGAGCGCTCAAAACGGACCAGAGGGGGTTTGATGCAATGTCCTGCGCCTGAATCCCCAGTTGCTCCCGTCTGCGGACATGTGTGTTGCAAACACCGTCAAGTGAGACGAGCGATGTGGTACAACACGTGTTGAAGGCACACACGCGCGCGCGCACACACACACACACACACACACACACACACACACACACACACACACACACACACACACACACACACACACACACACACACGAGCATAGCAGTGGCAGCTGCAGTGCTGGCGCTTACGTGGTATTGCAGGGTGAAGACAATTTGGGAAGTGATGGTACACGCAGTAGCTGTTTCCGTGCGGAGACGAGCGTGCCGAACACAAACTGTGGCAACGTGCCCGTGCGTGCCTAACGCGCAAGTGTGGTGTAGAGGTGCGATACGAAGATGTGAGGAGTGGGAAGGATGGTAAGCAGCGCAAAACAACACAAGTGCGGCGTGACATGGCCGTGAGACATGCAAACATCGCACGTCGTCAGCAGTCTTCTCTGCTGTACACAATGCATGCTGCGGTGTCTTACCAGCTGCGTTCCACCAAATATAGAGGTTGACGATGCTGGTTGAGAAGGGGTGTCAAAGTCAACAAATGGCGTCTGATCAAAGCGCCCAGCAATGTCTGAGCACGCGTGCGAGCGAGCATACAAGCAATGTATCTGAAGCATCATTGAATGGTCATCAAGGGACAGCGCTCCGCAACTCACTTTTGCACACACGCACAGACACGCACACGCACACACACACACGCACAAACACACAGACACTCACACACACACACACACACACACACACACACACACACACACACGCACGCACGCACTCACACTCACACACTCATACACACACGTACTGACACTCACATGTACATGTACATGCACACACACGCATACCTTTCAGAAACAAGGCTGGTACGTGTGCCTGGGCGGAGCGCTGAATGGAGCATTGGGTGTCGATGCCATTTGCCTGCAGGCAACCCAGAATGGTGCGATCCATAACGAGATCCACCCTGCGCCATTTGGGACGCAGCTCACACCACTGCAGCTGCTCCAACTGCAGACACATGTGTGCGTTGGTGAGACAAGACAACATCACGGCGCGTGCGCGTGGCAGAACAGCAGAACAGCGTGTGTGGTCAGAACGCCTTGCTGAGCAGCGCAACCGTACCGTGATTCGGTCGGGGAATGTGGTTGGGCTATCGCTCAACAGCACGAGGGTGTCGTCGTCCCTGTCGGGCATCTCCCGAACCAGCTCCTTGATTGCCTGCAAGCATTTGTGTGCACGCGATTGAGCAGGAGGAGGGCATGTACGAGAGGCCATCAGTATCCACTCAACTCAAAAGGGGGTCAAAAAGAACCCGCCTGCAGACTGCTTCCTCACAAGGGAACGTGCGAGGTGCACTCACAGCGTTGAAAGCGCAGTCCTTGTAAGCTTGCTCCACCTTCCACTCATCCGCGTGAAGTGGAGGGTCCATGTTCGACACAGCATTAACCTGCACAAGGGGTAAGGGGTGGATGGCGTGTGTGGATATGGGATAGTGAGTGTGGGGATCAGTGGGAGACCACACTACATGAGCGTTAAAAAGTGTTATGACCAAGGGGAACTGTGTGTGGGCTGTTCGGATGCAAGCACTGGCGCACCATGTTGGCGTGTTGCGAGCACGAAGGCACGGTAATGTGCTTCAGGTTCTTTGGCCAATCCATCAGATCCCTATCAGCGAGGATGATGAGGGGAATGCAACGTGAGAGTGAGAGTGAGAAAGGTCAGGGAAGCACACACACACACACACACACACAACGCGTTGTTCTGTTGTTGCTTGCGAACAACTCACAGGGTTGATTCAAACATCAGCGGCTTGGCCTGGCCCCAGACGGAGACAGCGCTCTCCACAACGACGTGGTGGGTGACCACGTTTCGCAGCTGCAGCAGGCGTGCTTGCAGCAGATCTGCAGTCAGAGACAGCAAACGCGCGCAAGGCGTGAGTACAGAAAGGCTTGCAGCGACAGAGAAGGTGTGTGTGTGTGCGTGTATGTGTGTATGTGTGTATTGTGTGTGTGTTTGCCTCTCTTTGCGTTTCTCTCCTATCTGTGTCCGTTCACAACATATACCGTGACGTCATGTTTGAACTTACCGAGCTTGTGCGAGAAGAAGACAACATCCACGATCGCACGTGGACCTGCAACAACAGCATGTTGGAGCAGCAGCGTGACTGTGAGACGCTGTTGCTTGCATGCAAGCATTTGCACACACACACACACACACACACACACACACTCTCTCTCTCTCTCTCTCTCTCTCTCTCTCTCTCTCTCTCACACACACACACACACACACACACACACACACACACACACGTACTCGATCGCTGGTGTCCCGTGAATACGCCCTCAAGCTCAGGAAGGTTGCACAAAGGAGGCGAGGGCATCGAGGGCGATGGCGATGACTCCAAGGCAGCACCCGCAAAGGCGGCGCGGTGTTCCGCGACCACGGCTTCAGCGGCAACGTTCAATAGAGAAGGTTGTGGTGACTCGTGACCACTGGCTGCGGCACAAACGCCTTTGAAGAGCTGCTCCAGGGGCGTCACATCGACCGGCTTCTGGTCATACTCCATCCACCCCCTCTCCCATGCATCCTGCTCGTCCATGGCGTCCTCCTCCCCTTCATCCCCTTCTGCCTCTGGCGATGAAGCAAGCACTGTTGTGGACGCGTCCGACAACACGGGTGGCCTCTGAACACGACCATCCCCTCTTCGACCGCTGCTGTCGCTGGCACTGCTGCCGCTACCGCTGCTCTCACCACTAAAGTGCACTCGAGCACCAAAGAGCAGGGC